TATTTTGTAGAAATAATATTTTATAATTTAGAATTAATTCAAATAAAAAGAATTTAATTTTTTTAAATAAAATTTTGAATTTAATTTTTTTAATGAGATCTAACATACTTAATTTTAACTCACAAGCGGATGAAAGAGTTGGTAGAGGACTTTTTCAACTTAATCAAAGATTTTGGTTTCAAGTCATGAGAATGTAGTTCCGTTAAAACTCGCAAGAGAAAGTTTTGTTGTTTGTTGGGTCTATTCGATTTGAATCTATATTAGTTGGTGATCAGATAATCCAAAAAAAAAAAAACTTAATTTTATATTAATAAAACCTAATATAATTTTTAAATGTTCGAGAGTTAGTAAAAAGATAAAAATTACAGACATTATATTGATTCCGCTGATCATGGAACTCATTTTTTTCCGTCAGTGCAGACATCAGATTGTTTTCTAATTTATATTGCGAGCTAGTCTGTAATATTTGACTTTTGTAATTATATTCAAACCAAGAGTGGATTGGACTGTTTTCTAGGGGATAGGTAAATAATTTTGATATTTATTGACAGAGAATCTTTAAATTAATCTTTACATATAATTTGAATTGATTTATTTAAAAAAATTAATTTTTTAAATATTAATATCAAAACTTAAATTTTAGACTTAATGCATAAAAATATATTTATTTACAAATAAATCTAATTATTTTTGAAAATATGGGGAATATATTTATTACCTTCCTAGAAAGCTCGCTCTCTATGTCTACGGCCGGTCAAATACAGTAATGTATGTACTACCATATATGATGGGGTAGGAGCGAGGAAAGGGAGCATCATTTGGTGTTGTGATAATTATCTCCATGTGAAAGAAGAAAACCTCTCTAGAAAACAGCACGCAAATCCTTGGATTTTTAGCTCTCTCTTTTCAACGCCAGAACGCAGCCTCAAGCAATCATCATGTCCTCCTCCCTCTTCCTCACCTCATCATTAGTCCCTCACCTCCTCTATCTACCACCAAAACCACCGCCATCCACCACCTCCAGGAAGGTCGGAAACAGAAGAAAGAGGAAGAAGAAGGTTGGATGAGGAAGCTGGTAGAACATGAAGGCGGATTCGATCAAGAAGAAGAAACCCTAGCTCTTAAACCATAGATGCAATGGTTTCTCTCTCTTGTTCTTCAAAAGGGTAGCCTTCTTGTTGATCAATACCATCTTTTCTTGGGGAATGGAAGCATCATGGTCCGACTGTTCTCTAGATCTATGCCTTCTATATAAGTGTTTGGTTTCTTTTATTTTTGATTTTGAATTAATCAATCATATATATGAGTGAAGTAGCTACTCTATATAGATTTGGTTTATCAATATATGGATTGATCATGGACAACAGATATGTTGCCATATATGTGCTTTGCTATCTTTCTTGGTTTCTTAGTGCTTAATTTGTGTTGATTTAAGCCGTTGATTTCTAAAAGGATCAGGAGTTCAAGATCTACATATATCTCTTGAGAAATATGAAGCAGTTGATGTATATTTGGATTTTAATTTTAGTGTTTTAGTACTTCTATATGTTCAAAATTAGGGTTGATCATCTTCTCCAGCTTCTTCTTCATAATTTTTTTTTAAAGAAAGAAATATTCCAATTTGAATCTTTTTCATGGTTGGAATAATTCTAACTTCGGCAGCAGATCTAAGACTAGCAGTTGCTTATAAATGATGCCCTATTATGTGTATATTTTTCACTGTGAACCTTTTTAATTAATCATTTTTCCTTTTGGAAATCTTCTTTTTGTCTTTCTTTTTCAGCGCTGTTAAAAAAGCTAAGGGTTTTGAATCTGTTCGTGTAAGGGACCCCTAAGACAGTACTTTGATTAATTTTGCATATGCCGAGGATTTCCCTGCTCTTGTTGACTCCAAATTTAGATCAGAAAATAAAAGTCCAACATTTTCTTCCAAAAGATGCCATCATATTCATGAGCTGTCTGTGTAACTGTAACCCATGAGTCATTCATTCTAAGTACAAAGTTAATTAATTACACTGAATAAACATTTACATTCATATAATCTTGAATTTATATATCACGCGTGCCAAATAAGAGAGAGGGTGCAAAGAAAAGTTCCGAAATGCAGCACTGCCAGCTAGCACACTTAAAAAAAGAAAAAAAATCTTGAGTTACAATGCAACTTCCTTTCAACTGTTAACTAACTTTATTTACCTATAATGTAATTTAAATTTAATATTTTTTATTTTTATTATAAAAGGATTACTTTTAAATTATTTAAATATTTAAGTCGTTGGCAAGTGCTAGCACTTCTAGAAGGATAACGGAGAACTAATGCATTATTATAATGTTAATACTTACAGTATGTTTAATTTGAGGGAAAGAAAAGAGAAGGGAGGGATGATTTTTTAATTAGTCAAATTATAATATTTTTAAATATTATAATTTGATTAGTTGAAAAATTCATTTCTCATCTATATTTTCCTCAAATCAAACATACTTGTATTTTTTGTTAATGTGTTTTTTAAAAGCCAATTTCACATTATGAGCCTTTCTTTTTTTTCACAAGATGATAAGTTTTACTCATGCAATAGATATAGGCTTTCTGTATATTTGCAGAAGAAAAAAAATCCAGTGGATATAATTATCTATTTTTTTCAAATTCTTTTTCATCTTATTCAAAATTTAAAAATAAAATTATCTTTCATTTGAGTTCTCAAATTCTTTTATATTACTCTTTATGAAGTTCACCCAATAAGAAATGTTCAAGCGCCATTAAACTCCTTTCCTTTGCCTCCTCTCCCCTCTCCTTAGTATAAGAGATTATGAAACGAGTTTTATGTTTTTCAATCTAGTTTGTAATTTTAATGTATAATTTGACTTAAAAAACACATTTTGT